TCATTTTTTTTTTCCTGAGTATTGGCTCTAAAATAGTAAGTCCTATTATCCAGCAGGAAAACAGAGAGGTTAGAGGCTAGAACTCAGAATGTATTAGATAGGCCACAGAATTCTTTTTTAAAATCTGAGACTTTCTGCTTCCTTGTCCTGGCTGTTATCTCCAATGGTGGTTAGAGAGGGCTGAAGAGGAGGCAGCCCCTGCTGCTGAGTTACCGCTGCCCTTTCAAGGGCTTTTCAAGGGCTTTACCCGAGACAGCTTCTGAGTCCCTAACAAAGGGAGTCAAAGGGATTCCAGAGACTGGAGAGAACTGCGGTTTACAAGAGAGCCCCATCTGTTTGGTATTCTCGCATCTGAGAAAGTTTGACTTCTGGAATAGCATGGGGCTCCTAGTTAAACTTGAATCTAGCAACAGATGAAAGCTGTTCTTTCCTCAGTGTTTCAATGGTAGAGATCAACAGCTGTTTATATCTTTAATACCTAACTAAGGGTGAGGCCTTCACATCTGTCAGTATTGTATGCTTCTACTTCCTTGGATCATGGTGGGAGGAGTAAAGTTTGAGCCACCCACAACCCCAATTCCCAGGCAAGGATACAGAAATATGCTCAAGAGTTAAGGCTGAAATTCTAAGCAGAACTCCCCACTTCTCATCCTCCCAGGGCCAGTTCTTTGCCTAGAATTCTTTTTACTTTATCCTGACAGACATCTTGATCTGATCGCTTCCAAGATAATGACTCATGACAGCCGAAGATCAAATGGAAGAAAAGTAGGCTGGAATCAGGGGGAGGAAGAGGAGGAGGAGATGGAGTGTAACAGAGAGAGTGGCTCCCAAAATACCTGCTTCCAAAAGATAGCAAGAATAATATCTGCAGGCAAATCACAGAGCTGAGCATGGTTCTGATAAAGACTCTCCAAGTGGTGCTGGTGGTTTTACTGAGCCTTTCAATTTGGAAAAGTTAAACAGCGAAAAATGAAACAAAAATCTGGGGAAAATAAAGTTTAGGAAATATCCAGGAATAGTAACGAAGGGTTCAAAGATATGTGTTAAACTTTGCTTTGATAATCACTGCCGTGCATATGTTAGGACTTTATAAACATTATTTTCCCATCCACTCACTTACCCATCTGTTTGTCCAATAACCTGTAAGGCACCAGGTCTGGACTTAGTGCTGGGATATTCAAGTGAACAGGACATATTTGATAATTTGAAGGAGTTTACCTTCTTTTTCTGTTTTGATTTGCTTTGGTTTTGAAAAGGGTTCTAGCTGTGCTGTCCAGGCTGGTCTCAAGGTCAAAGGCTCATCCTCTGCTTCCCTAATAGTTGGAACTACAGGCCTATATCACCATGCTCAGCTGGATACTAAGTACAAGCCTTCAAGAGGACTTGTATCTTAGCTGGACCCCAAGGATGCATGAGAACTCACCAGATAAAGAAGTGGCTGATTACGGAAGGAGAGAACATGGAAGTAGGCTTTTCTGAGGCAATGAAAAGCACCCCAGGTAATCACAGTAAGCAGAAGAATGGTGGATGCTTTTTAAAACTGAAGGTTCATAAGGAACTCAAACAGCACAATTGTAGGGAAAAGTGCTATTAAAAATGGACAAAGGGGCTGGGATATAGCTCAGCAGCACAGTGCCTGCCTGGCAAGCCCAAGGTTTGGAGTTCAATCAAAATAAAATAAAATATAAACATGAACAAAGGTTCTGAATAGACATTTCACAAAAGAAGACATGCAAATAGCCAAAAGATCTATTAATGGATAAAGAAAATGTGGTATACCCATGTGTATGAGTGTGTGTGTGTGTGTGTGTGTGTGTATATATATATATATATATATATATATATCCAATGTGAACAGACAAAGAAAATGCAGCATATACAGTGGGGTACTATTCAGCCTCTAAAAGGGAACAAATATTGCTACTTGTAGATAAACCTGGAGAAATTATGTTAAGTGAAAAAAGCCAGGCACCAAAATACAAGCATCATATGATCTTATTTGTATGTGGAACCTAAAATAGTTGACTTCATAAAAGCAGAGAAGAATGAGAGCTACCTGGAAGCTGGAGGGCAGCATGAGATATCAGTCAAAAGACACACAATTTCATTTAGGAGGGAAGAATAAATCCAGCTATGCAATGTGGTGACCATACAAAGCCTTACTCAGGCCTCATTGTGGTCCAGGAATAATCCCATGGAAAGTTACTGGAATTCCTATAAATGAGCTCTAATCTACCACTTCAAGTCTAACCCATTATGAGAATAAAGACACTAGGGCATATTTATAGTTTTGGGGAGCCAAGGGGATCCTAAGTCCAGCGAGTATGATGGTTAACCAGAACAAAGGCTTCTACCCAGAGCCAAATCCAGGTTTGTTAATTAGTGAAGAGGGGAGTGGCTCGGGGATGAGACTGTGAGAAGGGCAGGAAGAGTGTGAGTGCCATTAGCTGGGGGAGGTAGGTGGCCTGAAATCACCTCTGCAATACACAGAGAAGGATGTGCAGAAAGAGTAATCTGCATGACACAATCTGAGATGATATCTAATGTTCTGGGGTCAGTGCTTCAGCTCTATCATCTTTTACACTCTGGGAAGTCAGAGCCTCTTACCTGGAGGCTGGACCCCAGCCCATAGTGTGCCAAGAGCAAGGAGTAAGGAGCATGGGGCTCCTTCCCACAGGCTCACCCATGCTTCTTGGGAGCTCCAGAGAGCAGTGGGGCAACACTGAAATGTTGCATTGCTCCAAGGACTACATACCAGCACCCCAGCTAGACTGATCTGCATTGCTTAAAGTCAATGGCGGGGGTAAAGGCCAAATTCAGCCCACTCTACACATATCAATACACAGAAATAGGGCTAGGTTTAGCCAAAATGGAGCTGGTTGCTCTTTTTCCAAGGAGAGTCATCCAGGTGGTCCTCCACAGTGACCATATACCTGTTTGTTTGTTTGTTTGTTTGTTTTGTTTTGTTTCTCAGATCATACCTAAGATTCTAATTTTGTTGTTAAGGGAGAGGATTGAAGAAACTCAGTTTTGAATAGAAAGCTCAGATGATCTGGATATATACAAAAGTTTGACATCTCTAATTTATATAACTTAACTTTTCCCAAAAGCTGTTAATGGTGTTTCAGTTGAAAGGGGGTGGGGGGGGGTGGGGGGGAAGGTATCAGGTCAAATCAGGAAACACCATACACTAACATATTTGCAACATGTAAATTCATTCTGCACACTGATGTAAGTCAAATCTTGTGGTAAAGAAATCAATTTCACTCAGCAATTCCCAAATGTATTTTTCCATTGGGAGGAAAATCACATTAAGGTTTCTCAGAATATTGACTACTTCTGTGATGTGGAGCATAGATCAGGAAGAACTGTAGGAGAGGTTTCAGTGGTCCTGCCATCCTCCCCAGCCCCACATGCTGGATGACTCAAGGACATGTCTAGAAAAAAGAAAGCCAAATCAAACATCTGGGGACCACGAAGGCATGCAAGGATTTCCTCCATGCAAGGTCTAAAACCACCTATGATGCTCTGTTTTCCAAGCAGACAGCCAGGAGCTGCATCACTCTCAACTGACACATGCAGCTCTGTGCTAAGATTTTTGGTTAGCAAAGCTTTGTGGTAACCGCAACTATCAGAGAACAGGAGTGGCCAGAGCACCCAGGAGCAGATACAGGGAAGAAGAGAGGAGGCCTCCTTGCCCACATTTATTTATCGTTAGAGTTATCATATGCTCTGCTCAGAGCTCTGGCAGTTGCTTGCAAGACTTCTGGAAAGGAAAAATTCCTTTCAGCATTACAAGTAGCGTCTGACAGTCAATGCAAGTGCATAAAGGAAAGAACCTAGGAGCTTCTGCCCTTCAAAGGTGCTATGCGCAGGCGAACCTGCCCTCTTCCTCCTTTGCCCTATTCCACCTCTCTTGTGCCTCCATCAGGCACAGGCACAAGAGAAAGAAAGACCTAGATGAGCCAAATCAGCACCAGGATTCTGATAAAGTCGCGTGCTGAATACTTCAAGATGGCCCCTACTGGAACAATCAATTTATGCACTTTTTTTTCCTGTTATAAACTTAATGACTTCCATATGTCCCCTTCTCAGTGTTCCATGCCACATGGGGACACTCCCCCCCCCCCGCTAGAGGTGATTTTAAGTGTGTTTCAAATGTACCTTTTCGTACCACAGCCATCCTAGAGCTGTTTAAGAATGCTTCCTAATAGCACAGTATTTATTCAATCATTCCAGAAATGTTTTGTAAGTCTATGTAGGGTCCAAGGCATTGTGCCAAGTACTAGAGAAATAACCATACAATCGAGGGACCAGTTTCCTATGGAGGTCAGTCATTAAGTGCTGAATTCCAACTTCAGCCCGTCAAGTGTGGGAAATCCAGTGGCCAAAAGCATAAAGAAATGTAAGGGCTCGAGAAGGTTTGGTCCTTTGAGTTTTACGGCCTATTTGCATTTCAAGTGTGCCAACAGGTCTAGCAGCTATGCAAAGAGTTGATGGTAGAGTCTGGGACTGATAAGCTATAATGAAGAGAGGAAGGAGAATGCTAGAATTTTTATTTCTGCAGGATGTGAACTCCTGTTTGTTTGGCCCCCAAGCAAATTCATATATTCTCAAGCTGAATTTCTTAATCCTGAAAGAGAAATGCTGCCAGAAATTATATGAGTCAACATTACCTTAACCAATTAGCCAAAAAATAAACATCTTACCAGGATAACTGAGTGGGGTTACAGGTTAGTCCTAAGCCAAGAAGATCTCACCTAACACTTCCCTAGTGTTCCTCAGCATCAAATACATGTATCATCAGGGTCCACAAGTTAATGCTTTTCATTTCAATTCAGTTTTACAGGAGGAGGAAAAAAACTGCAAGACTAGGACTGAAGAGATTTAGAGAAACATTGATACAGGAGTTACCCAGCAGTCCTAACCAGCTCTGGAAGAATCACTTCTGCAAACTTTCAGAGCTTGAGAGGTACAGATGAAGTTGGTCATGGACTTACCCACACATGTTGGAAATATTTCCTCATTATTGATCTGGACCTCAATCCAATCCATGAGAAGGTTCATGTACTGGGGAGCTGGCAGTGCTGTTGGTTTCTTATACTTGAGGTCATCCTGCCACCGATACTCATATTTGGGGCCCCCCGACATCACAGGGCAGGTCCGCTCAGTGCAGAACTCACAGATGGTGCCGTAGATGAGGTTGATCCGATTGAAGAAGTCCACCACGTGCACTGCCACCCAGTCATTCTGGTCCTCCCCACTGGGCAGCTGCACAGCAGCCTTCAGGTCCACTCCTGAGTTAAGGGATGCCTGAGCCCGTTTGTGCAACTCAAACCTCTGTGTGCCAGGTTCAAATTTCCTCTTGGGCCGAAAGGTCTTGTCCTTGTTGAACACCTGTTTCAGGGCTATGGACATGGTCTTCTCCTTCTCTTCCTTTCCTTTACAGGAAGCAAAAAGGCACTTGGAAGTTTTCAGCGAGAGATCACAGCCCAACAGGGTTTTCCACTTCCAGCCCTCAGGCCCCAGGCTTGCGGCCTGCAGCTTTCACTCTCTCTTAAACAGGCCCATCCACCTTCCTACTGAATGACTTCCAAGGGAACTTCATGTTCCTTCCTAAAGGCAGAAGACAAAAGGGAACTTGTGAGTTCATACTTAAGAAATGATAAAGGCTTAGACCTGATTTCTCTGTTGCATTCCTGGCTGTGTCACCTCCACCCTAGTAGGCAATGTGGGGGTTCAGCCCCTGCCCTTAGGGTCTGCACTGGTGTTGTGAGTCACAGGAGTGTCTAACAGGCATCACACCCTTCCTGTGCGACCTTGTCAATCTGTGCCGCTCTTCTCTGTGTGATCATAAGCTCAGAGGGCCTCTGCAAGGTGGTAAGGATAAATATACTGGTCAATGACTCAATCCCATTCCACATTCCACATATGTTTCTTTGTAGAGCCTCCCCTTGTTTCCCCTCCAGGGTAAGCACAGAGCCACTACCCCTGTTTTCCCAGGGAGCAGGGGTGACTATTATTCCAAACTGGCTAATAAGAGTATCTCTCCTGGGAATCTGGAAGCAGGGGCCAGGTTTTATTTGACACGATTCGTGAGAGGTGATGTAACCTGGGACTAGCCGAACCCTGCCTGTATGGATCTTGTGTGGTGCAGCTGAGAATGCAGGGGTGAAGAGCTGAAAGGGAAGGAAAGGAAGAGGAAGAGGAAGGGAACAGGAGACTGTAGCATTAGGAGCTCTGGACACACAGAAATACAGAGAAGAGACCAAGTGCCTCAGGGAGAATACAAGGCAACATGAGACACAGTGAGAAAGGAAAAGTGGCTTCTTAGTCCCAGTAATTGTCCAAGCAGCAGTTCCAAGTTCTTCCTGAAGCTCAGTTGTGTTTCCTATGTTTTGGATCAACTTGTTTTTTCTGAATTAGTAAAGCATTTCATTTGACTTTACTGAACTTGACTGCACTCTGTGTCTACTCAAAAATCCCCAGCTATGACAACATGTATCACCTCTACAATGCACTATCATTGCATCCTTAATATCACACTTTAGACTGTCCTTTGAGAGTTGTCCAATGGAACGTTTGGTGATACTGCAGAAGTCCTACATATTTGTACAATATGGTAGCCACTAGCCCTGCATTCCTGCTAAGCATGTGGATGATAGATGGTGTTACTAAGGAACTGGATTTTACATTTTATTTCATTTTAATCAATTTGAATAATCACACATGGCTACTGGCTACCATATTGGAGAGTAAAGCTTCAAAATCTTTGATATTCTCCATTATTTCATTTGATCTTCACAAAAACCTAGTGACACTTATAGTTCAACAGTAAGTGTAACAGACTTACGCCAGGAATCATTCTCCCTGGATCTCAGGAGAGAGGCCCTATAGCTAGGAGTGGGCAGAATGGATATGAAATCTAGTTTGTAGATCCCTGATAAAATAATCCCTTACTTCATATGGTCTTATGTGTATTCTTAAAAAAAAAAAAAAAAGACCTTTTCATCTGTTTTCCCTGATGTTTTTCATAAAATTCCCTTTATCCAGAGTTAATTTCTTCTTATGTTTGATACACCTATTCCCCCAAAGACTGCTAGTGACTAGAGGTGAAGGCCATGGGCTGTGGCCTTGATATAGAGAAGAGATAACCAACCCACCCACAAATCAGACTCTAATAATGTGAGCAAAGCGTTGACGTTAGATCCAGGTAAGGAAGATTTGGAGCACATTCCCACTGAACTGCTTTACTCCTACCTGGCAAAAATTCTGCCATTCCATCCTCAAACATGGCTTTGAGATGCACTGCATTTGCTCTTAAATCATTAAAGCAGAAAGATGTTCCCAGACTACTTCTGTCCTCACTGCAGACCCTGCTCCTTATTCACAGCTGTGGAGCATGCCACCAAATGCTGCTTCTCCTCTTTCCCTGCCTGCTCAGCTCCTCTCTGTTCACTCCGTCTCTTCCTGACAGGTTTCCAGTGTAATGCCTCTATGTTCCTGCTCACATGGCACTGAGCAGAAACTTCTTTTCCTGCAAAAACAGTCAGGTGGACAAGCAGGTCACACGGCACTCTGCCTGAGACTATGCGAAATCACACACCAGGTACTGTGAAATATCATGTGCAAGCATATCACATAAAAACTCCACAAACACTAGGGAAAGAATGGACAGTCCCTCCCCACCCACCTCCAGCTTTTTAAAATACTTTTCCAAAGGCCCAGTCTGCCTCAAGTCTCTTGACAAAACTGAGGGCTTTAAATAACACTGTTAAAACAAAAGCATAGAGAATTGCGCGCGCATTTTTCTCAAGATACACAATAGTCCTTCTATGTCTCTAATGCTTAATTGCCAACACTGAAGCAGTAACGGCCAGCAGCTGCCTCCCTGTGCCTTGAGCAAAGATGATCTGTTGCTCTGTTATTCTGATAATGAGGGTACCATCAATTCCCACGATCCTCAGAGCAATGTTCTTTTACTGCCTTATATGACCCTCGGTCCCACTAATTCTATTATTTCCCTGTGGCCTGGAGTGTCCACTTGCATGGAGATCTCACCTGTGCCAGGCTTTCAAAAACAGGTCTGTCTGGCACCTCAGATGGCAATATGCGAATGATTCAGAATAACCACAGCAAAATTCTTAAAATCCTGCAAGGATTGGTACCAAGAAATATTAAAATCTTGTTTAGAATGTGTGGACTATTCTTCCAGAGATATTTAAAATAACAAATTTGACGATATCACTCTTTTGAACTAGATGGGCATTTACTGAAAACCTTCACCCATGTTAAAATTCCCATTTCTTTGCCTCCACTGAGCAGGTTCCCCAAGGAAGAAGATATCTTTGAAGGCCTAAGCCCCTTAATCTGCTGCTCGTGGTCACCATTTGTTAAACTCTGCAGTGCACCAGACTCTTTAGTCATATTACAAACATTTCTAGTTCTCACATTTCACTGTATGTCAGAAGTTATGACCATTTTATATAAAAGAAATGACATAATTTGCCAGAAATCAGTTAGTAGATGGTGAAGACTAGATCTTGAACCCACATCTCTCTGCAGCAAGCATGATGTTTTCTTTATAAAGTTGTTTTTAAATCCTGTAAACACCTTCTAATGTTACCAAAGCTCCTGCACATCTGTATTTCAAGCTCCTCACTGCAAGGCTCTAAGAGGAATCAGCAGTGGTGGAATCATCATCTATCTCCATTTTACAGGCAGGCACACAGAGGCTCTGGTCTCCTGGCATTTGAAACTATCTGTTAATCATCCTGACTAGGTTGGACATGAGGATGAATCTGTTTCTGTCTTAACCTACAGTGGTGTTCTCTTGAGAAGGAGACTGCTTGGTCAGGTGGGCCCTTTGTTTAAAGACAATGACCATCAGGCAGGTAAGAACAGGTATATCATGCTACTAAATGACTGGACAAAGACACATCCATCTTTGATGAGCATCAGACGCTATGACGAGACTTAATCACCAAGACTTAAAAGAAGCTTGAAAAAAAGGAATAAATCTATCTGGCCCTGCTTTCCAACCCTACTACCACTGAAACTCCTGTCCATAATTTATTTTGTCAGCTTAAAGTGGAGCAGTGCTTATCACATTAATGTGGAGCTCTTGTTAAAAATGCAGGATTTGATTCACTTGCTTTGGAGTCTACATTTCTAACAAGCTCATGATTATGCCACAGATGACACTTCAGAGCTGGTCTAAGTAAGGGAGCTGGTTTAGAAATCCAAACTCTTCAGCTTCACTACAGACCAGGTAGATCTAAATTGGTACTTTAACAGAATCTCAAGAGACGTACATGCTTTGAGAAACCAGGGCCGGAGGACACCTGGCTGGCCAAGTAAAGGAATCAGTGAATAAATTTCCACTTGTTTTGTGGACAGTTTGCTTCATAAACAGTCTTCAGCTGAATTCGTGTGTTTGCTAAAAGGAATGAGAGACTCTGTGTTTTGAATAAACCTGCCCTGACAAATGGTGACAAACACTTGGCCGTCTGATCAGGAGCTACTTAGATAACGTAGCACCCAGCGCCAAGGACGTCCCCAGCGAATACCTTTTCCTGATGCCAGAGGGAGAGCAGCTGCTAGACTGCGCTGTGCACACAGGAAGCTCTTGGGTTGAACAGAATGTAGCACTAGCCGTGACTCAGTGGTGATTCTTCCCTGTCCAGTGTTCAGACAGAAAAGTACAAGTCATAAATTCTGTCTCCTGGGTAGAAATTTTAAGCAAATTCTAGTTGTGTGTAGCACCCATCCAATGCTGGTTCTCAGTAAACTTTTTTTTTTCTTTTTTCAGATAAGTTTTTACTCTCTAGTCCAGGCTGATTTTAAATTCACCATGTGTCCCAGGCTGGCCTCAAACTTGTGGCAATCTTCCTGCCTCAGCCTCCCTAGTGCTGGGATTATAGGCATGTGCCACCACACCAGGCCTCAGTAAACATTTGAAGTCAATTGCTCATTCAATCAATAAACATTTACTGAAGACCTTTTATTTGTCAGACACAGGGCTAGTCACTAGGGACACAGAGTTAATTAAACTTGGCCCCCTCTAAGAAGAGTTCACAATGTGATGTCTAGTTTTGAGGTTTTCAGTTTGGCTTTTTATGCTACAAAGTTACATTCAGCAGCATAAATGCTGGTGTGATTCGCTCTGTGTGTTACTCCAGTTAGGAAAGAAAAAGGACAGCAAGGAGGGAGGTTGTTAGAAAATGCAAATCCAAATAAACAGCAAAAACTGCCAGGCGTTCCATGTGTCCTCCATGTTTCTGCTTAATAGATCAATTTTAGCAATAAAACAAATACTCTATTAAAATATGCAGAGAGAATTTGGCTGCGTTGCAAAGGAATGTTGACAGGGTAACTAAGCAACACTGGCGAGGAAAGTTCTTATTTTTCTTTTCCTATTGATGTCTTCTGCCTCATTAGCTAAAAAAAAAAATCAGAGTCCTTGCCAGGGATAAGGAAAAATCGAAACAGTTCTCCCACTCACTCCCGAGACATCCATCTTCTCTATCATGGGCACCGCTAAGAAACTTGAATGGGGCAAATGGTGAGGGGCCCTCAGAAGAGGGTCTGACGCTGGGCAGCTGGGGGAAACAAAT